TTTTTCAACAATAGAAACAGCGACTATCCACGTGGACCTCACCGGATGGAAAACACAAGAATCAAATTGACTACATCTGTGGAAAGAGACGATGGAAAAGCTCAATATCATCCGTCAGAACAAGGCCAGGGGCCAACTGTGGAACTTGCTCATTAGTCGACATTCGGTCATTTCAGAAGGTAGGATATGATCAAGAACAAATGGTACTAAAGGAAGAAGTCCAAGCTGCGCTGAAGGCATTGGCAAAAAACAAGGCTCCAGGAATTGACAGAATACCAACTGAGATGTTTCAGCAAATGGATGCAGCACTGGAAGTGCTCACTTGTCTATGCCAAGAAATTTTGGTTGAAGTTGGGAGCACTTTCATAGACTGCCACTTGGCCTTTCCCACTACAATAGCTCTTATCCCACAGGCCAAGGGCCCAATGTGGTCTAACTACCACCAAGTATGTCAATCCCAATTATATATTTGGGGATCACAAAAATAATCACCAGGTGGGTTCTCAGTAAACTCCCAGTAAGCTGAACCTTGGTCAGGATTCCATATTCCATTTATTACATGGTCTCCATATGCCCCTACTCTAATGGGGGGCATGAAGATGCCTTAGGCTTCTGGATTGCATTATTACCTCAGACCCTGTGTCCAACAGTCCTCACAATGTTTGAGTATTCCTCTTTCCCTAATGTAAGTTACTCAAGATAGTAATTAAAAAACAATATCACGTATCAGAGTCAGGGAATGGTGGAAATTAGTGCCACCCTTAGGACCTAAAGGAGGCAAGGGTGGTGTCTCCTTTATATCTCCATTTAATTTACTAGTATGATGCCTGAAGAAACAAGGTGGAAAAATGGACTGAACTAAGTGGTAGCCCCTATTGTAATTGCCACGCCAGATGTGGCATCTTTTCTAGAAGAGATTAATGTGGCCTCAGAAACATGGTATGTGGACATTTATTTGGAAAACACATTCTTTTCTCTTTCTTGTCGGAAAAGATTTCAAATAGTTCACATTCACATGGAATAATCAACGATATACATTTACAGCTTTGTACCAGGACTATGTTAACTCTTCAGCTATGTGTCATAATATAGTCGAAGAGATGTGGACAATCTGGACATCTACAGAACATCACATTGATCCATTGCATTGATGATATTATACTAATCAGGCAGGATAACCAAAAAAGGTTAGCACGCTGAAGACTTTGTTAGGACACATGTGCTCCAGAGGGTGGAGCTATAGCAGGAGCTATTGGTTTGCTATTTGAAAGAAATATCATCTAAAAATTTACTTAGATGTAGGTATGGAAGGGAGAAAGTATCTGCATGTGCAGTGTGGCAAAAGGATGAGCAGACAGAATAAACTATTCAGTACTTCTAGATAATAAAATGTAAGGGAGAAAGTAGGGAGAGATGAGATTGAGTTGGGTTTTATCCTGTAGTTGAAAGGGAGACATTGAAGGATTTTAAGCAAAGGAGGTCATGGTCAAGTTAGAACTGCTATTTAAATAAATCGCCTAGTAGCTGTATAGAAAATGGTTTGAGAAGAGGTTGGAAATGAGGAGACAGCTTAGGAGATTAATGATGATGAGGTCCTGAACCAGGACAGTGGCATTTAGGATGAAGAAAAAACAGTTTTTAAAAATGTTGAAGGCAATGTTGGCATGGCTTAGCAAAATACT